GACTCAAATGCCGTTCACAAACCAAAAATTATGATTGCCAAATTTGCGACCACGACAAAACCGACACTTGGACTAGCTGTATAAGAAAATACGAGGTAAGAATATAGACAATCATGCCTCATCAGACAATCATGCCCAAAGTTATTGTGTTAGCTTCGCCACTGGTAAACTGGGATATTGCACCATTTTCGTTTTTTAGGTGATTCCAGCTATTCGCGTCAGACAGAATTAAGGGTCTGTTGTTTGATCAGTTGCCTCCAAATCATGGGAAAAATAAAGGGCATGTGTCATGAACCTTTTACCCAGCATGTACCAAACGACACAGCATATATGGGAAGCCCATTTCAGGTTCTGGTCACCTACCTTATATCCAAAATAAAGTTCATAATATTCCTTCTCAGAGGATTAAGGTTTGATTTTTACGATTTTAGAGTTATTCTCCACAAATATAACACTACGTATTTTGACTATTTGCACAGTTACGAGGCATTTCTTCTTCTGAATTAATACAAAGCAAAAATCTTCACGAACCTAGAACAACAAGCAGCCACATCTAAGCGGCTTTCCAAGCTGTCAGATCTCACAATGATGTTACGCAACTGGTAAGAAACAACGCAATTATATCTGTTCGAGCATGACGTACGAGCAATGTTTCCAAACCTTTTTTATTTCCTAAAGGTGAATTTTCTGAATTCAGTGTCATTTATAGAAATTCATTGTACACATTTCAGTTGTTACTGAACAATTAAATGTGAATAATTGTTAAATGAAGCTACAGCAAAATAACAAATACACAGCATTTTCAAGCACTTCCGTAAATATAGAGTAGCGATTTTCAAGAAAACTGGAATTTGGCAAAAACTGTTTTTCAAACTCTAATTCATCGCCCAAGTCTAAATTAATGGCATCATTCACTTTTCTTGTTACAGAAATGCTGTTGACCATTTCACACCAAATGTTCTACGCCCAAAGTTCTCAAAGTTCCGTCTTTTCAGAAACGTTCAAACTTCTTTTTCTCAAAAATGACTCCAACTTTTTTCTGGAAACTTTTCCAAAGGATATAGTTAATTTCACTGTTTAATACGACATGTTTACTTTGGGGTATTATTTTTTTATTCAAAAAATACAGTCCGCAGTCACCGAGAAGGAATGCTGCCCAAGCGCTGCATGAGTCGCCAGGTGGTAGAAGCAGAAGTTAGCGTGGGTGTTACGTGGCTGGAGAAGGCACAACTACCCGCAAGGCGAGGACGACATCGTGCGGCGACTCTAGCGGATGGAACTGTGGACAATTCGTCCGCACTCAAATGAGAGCGAGCACAACGTCAAGTGAGAAGACTCAAGAGAGACGCAGACGTCCGCGTAACAATGTCATGAAGTATTGTAGGCTTTCACGGACGGAGTCAATATTGTTTGAATTGATGAATAATGAATTGAAGAATAATGTCATGAAGTAGTTGCAGAATGTTCTTTTTGTTGTACAAATTAGGAGTTGAATAGATTTTCTTACATGTCACTTGGCGTTTATTTGATGGACATAATAACAAGAGAAAGTCTTTGCCATTATGTAGCACCACTAGTTTACTTTCACGTATACGTATGTATATACGGAGTAATAAACATAGTATTGAGAAAGTTATGTAATGATCCGGAAAATTGATTTCAGGATTTCAACGGAAGTACTCGTTTTGGGTTCCCTGGTACTGAAAAAGTGTTGCTTTTTTTTCAAAATGCCGTCCGTTCGACTGTCCATTCGTCTGCCTAGGTTTATGTAAACAACACCAGCGCCTAAACTACGCGTAGGATTTTGAACAAACACCAATCTTAGGTCGATATGGCCTGAATCAATGCTCTGTGATTTTGAAAACAGGAATTTTTACGGGTACTTTACATGAAGCCATGTGCAATTTTGAAAACTTTCTCTAAAATGGCTTCAATTTTTTTTCTTTAAATTTCTTGCCGGAATAGAGCAATCTTATAAAGGAGGCACATCCGATTTCCACTGTTAACCCTGAATTTTTGAAAATTGCAAAAGTTAAAATTTTTTCGCCGACTTCGTACAACTATACAATTGATGAAAGAGATTTTTCCTTCATATGGATTTTATTGTCCATAATTAGGTCTTGAAGGTCATAAAATTTTTTTAAAACATTTTAGTAGTTTCGCGCAATATTGCTCGTAATATGTGCAATATTTAACTAAAGGAGCTACAGAATGGCACAGACTTTCCCGTATTACTTTTCTATTTCCTTTGGCCTCGGCTAACTATACGAACTTGCCACTTACTCTTTCCATCTGACATCTACCAAATATACCAAAATACATTTTTTTGACATTTTCTTATTTTTCCGTTTCCAAATAGAGCAGACATATTATTTTTTAATATGGCAATGGTGTAACGGTTAGCGTATGATTGTTACACCTAAGTTGATGGGTTCAAACCCGATCGAAGAAGTGGATTTCTAAAGGCGAGAAAGTCCTTCGTACGCCTTCCTTCGGAGGGGAAGTAAAGCCGGCTGTCCCATGTTAGTAGATTTACTTGCATGTAAAAGATCCTCAAGCCTAAATGACGCCTCTGAGCTAAATTCAAATCGCCTGTTTCTCGCCCAAGAAATACCTCCTTTCTCTCCTAGTTGGTGAAAGGAGCGTAGCGAAATTTGCGTGGTCAGACGGACGAGCGGGCCTGATGGCCAGAGTCTCGCCACGTAAAATAAGGCAACAATTCAATTCAATGTAATTATTAAATAACAGTGATACTTCGCCCGAGATGGTAATTTTCTTTGAAAAATTTGGAGACGTTTTTAAGAAAATGGTATTTAAGCGCTACTTTAATTTCGAAATTTGAAGCTCTTTTTCACAGAAAATATTTGAGTTTTCGAAAAACTTCATTTGGAGTCATTTGAATCACATTAACTCACAAATACAATAGTGTTTACAAATTGCTGGAAATGTGCATATTAATGGTGTGAGGTATATTACAATAATAATAATAATAATAATAATAATAATAATAATAATAATAACAACAACAACATAATAAATATATTTGTGTAATTTTTGACAAGAAACAAAAAGTACCCCGAAATGAATTTTACGTCATATTAAAGAGTGAAATTAGCTCCATCCGTTCGAAGAAAAAATTTTGAGCCGTTTTTGAGAAAATGGCCTTTGAGCATTTCTGAATTTTGAGACATTTTTCGCAGAAAACAGTCAAGTTTTCGAGAAACTTTAAAAGGCATTATTGAAAGCTCATGAACTCATAAATGTAATAATGTGAGGAAATTGTCCCTAATATAAATATTAAGGACGTGAGAGACAAGTCAATTTTTTTTTGTAATTAAATAAACAACAACAAAGAATAGAGCAATATGGCGTCTAGGTCATCTTATAGACTACATTTAGGACTATATCAAAAGTTTAAAGAAAACATTTTGGGTCGTATTCGAGAAAAAAGGTTGTAATTTTTAAAAATTGCATCCAATATTGCGCGAAAACTACTAAAATGTTCAAAAATATTTGGAACACCACCTTAATGAAAGAAGTCACAATGGAGAAAATATTTATTTGAAGAAAAAACTTTATCTTTAATTTGGTAGACAGTTTGGTAATTAGGAAGACATCGAAAAAATCCATAGTTTTGAAATTTTCGGAAATACAGAGAGAACAGTGAAAATTGTACCTATGCCACGTTATGGACCTTATGGACCTATACGACGAGTATGTTATTCTTTTCTTACAAGAAAATTAGAGAAAAAATCGAGTCGTTTTTGAGAAAATTTTAAAATGACCGGAGGGCTTCATGTAAAGTACTTCCAAATTTTGAACAATGTTTATTAAAATCTCAAAGATACGACTCGAGCCAGATGGACAGGGGTTTCTTCAATTCGGAAGAATTCATATGTATGGTTTTGACGCCAGTGGTGTTCACGGACGGACGGACAGACAGACGGACAAACATACAGACGGACGGACAAACATACAGACGGACGGACAAACATACAGACGGACGGACAGTCGGGCGGACAGACGGGCGGACAGACGGAGAGACGAACGGAGAGACGGACGGAGAGACGGACAGGACGAACAGTCGGAAGGACAGACGGACGGACGGACGAAATTTTTGCTGTCAATTGATTTTTTCAATGACCCAGAGAAAAGGAATTCTGGCTATACCACCAAAAATGGAGGATTTTTTTTCTTAATTTGGTAACTGGATTTATTCACTTTTTAGTTACCAGGGCCCGGCAATGAATTTTTTCTGCCGAAAATCCGCCATTTTTTTGCGCTGCACTACGTAACTTACCGCACACTAAGTATATTACTTCGTATATACGTATTTATACGGGACAGTAAAAAGACTTCGGAGTACTTGGCCCAGCGCTGCCTTTGACCGTCGCAGTGTCTGCGTGGTCGCGGCAGTCGGTTTGAACTGCGCGCCCGGAAGTGAAATTTAAACCTAATTTTTTCGGAGACAAAGTTATAATTTCGGAATAACTGGATCCACCCTTGTTCATGAAAATTCTACATAGAATCTTCAGTGTTTTTGTTACGGTAGCTTTCGGACATTCTGTTAATAGATCAGTGGTTACTCTTTCATCCATGGTCAACGAGATATCCTGCGGGTCTTGCTCTCACCTTTTACTCTGATTATGTTACTGTCATTGACTGTCATTCAAGTCTGTTATGAAGTACATTATTAACAAAACATGTATACCAGCCATGAAGACGTTTATAGTCTTCATAAGTAGTGTACTCTATTATTTCGTTTACTGGCGGAAGCTGAGAGGAAGAATTGTGGTGGTTTTCCTTTCGTATACACTAGGATTTATTTAACCATGCACTTGACGAAAATCAGCTGTTCACAATTTTATCCAATCGGAAGCTTGAACGTCCCTATACCAACGTCACTGTTAGCGACATTTAAGCTTCCGATTAGATGAAACGTCAACACCCGATGTACGTCAAGTGCACGACTAAATAAATCGTACTATAGTCCTTTTGGGCAGGCGACATTCGCGGCATTTATACCGAGTTATACTCTTTGGTACTGGCTGGCAGGCGGGTTGGCGCTTGTAACCACTTGTTTGTGTTGTATGTGATAGTGCGCTTTATTTCAAATTAAGCGTATAATTATTATTGCGTTAATGTTACAGATCCAATTTGAATATAATCTTTGTTTTAGTTCCTGACAAACGCGTTGTCAGCTGTAGGAGTTGCAGGTAAGACGAAAACTGTAATAAAGGTGTTAAGATGAATGTATTAACGCTATGTACTAGCTCCGTGTCAGTGTACTTACATATCTGGAAATTATTTCATTTTAATGATAGGTATGTTGTGAATGATATGTTGAAATGCATTTTTTATTTGTACAGTTTTGTTCCTGATATGAGCTCAACAGGTCTTCCGAAAACCGTGCTATCATCTCCGACTCAAAGTGAATCGCAAGCTTCTGAACTTAGTACTACTTCTCTAAATTCTGAATTAGTTCATTTGAAATTTGAGCATTCGTTCGACCAATGCTTATTGCAGATGCAGCGTGATGCTCATAACAAAAGAATGAAACTCTTGAGAAAAGAATTGGATTACATTCAAGTTACTGCATGGAAATATCCAGTCATTGACAAGTATATAGGGCAATAAAACAAATTTCTTAGCAGTTAAAATGTTTCCAATTTTAAAATCCCTTGTAAATTATGTCATTGGTCAAAAGACATTTGTTTCGGATGTGGGAGAAGCAAAAGCAAGTATTACAACCATTGATGAATCTCCAATTGATATCAATCAGACCGACAAAAGTGCCTCTGATGAATTTGATAATGATGCACTTTCAATTGCTGAATTAGAGAAGGAAATAAGAGTTATTGAAGGATGGGAAGAAGAGACTTGGAAGAATGATTTGGAATGTAAGGTTGATGAAAAAAATACAATCACTAAAACTGAAGCGAATAATACAACACAGAGTCAGTTTGTGAATCATGGTAAAAATTTAAGTGATCTAAAAAGTGAAATTATTCATCTAGAAAAAAATGATTTACCAAGTGATCTTCAACTGTGTCAGTACAGAATTGGGACAGTTACAAATATTTCTGATGATTATGCAATTATTGATCATGAATTAAGTTTTATGTACAAACATGTTCAGAATAAAAAAATACAAAAGGGTGACAGAATTAATTACATTGTATTTCGAAGGCATGTTGATGAAGAATGGCAATTGCACAAGGTCTTAGAGACTGCTGATGAAAGTTGGGAGGAGAAATGTAAGGAAACGAAGACTGAAATAGTTAAGTCATCTGGAGCCATAAACAGAAAGATGATTGGGCAAGTGGAATCAAAGGATGGCCGAGAAGTCTATGTAAAGCCTAATATCAAGTTTTTATTGGACGATGTCAGGTGTGATTTTATTCCATATGAAGGTAAGTTTTTCCACTTTTGTGCTGTATTATGTTTTTTTTCAGTCATTTGACTGTTATTTTTTGAAACTCATTGAAGCCAAACCTATTATGGGGGCATGATCCATTAGTAACAGTCGGAAATTATTCACATTCATTTCACAGACATTGGCAAACTTATGATAGAACTGTTTAACCCCCTATCATTTTTGTCATTCTACCAACAGTCGAATATTCACATGATATCAATGGATCTATGGTCTATATAAAGGAAGCTATGCTTTAAAACTTCCTTTTTACGAAATCTAATTTAGTCATAATTCTTTGATTAAATTTTAGTCTTGTGATTTGTAATTATAAACGTGTTGAAATTCATCATTTATGGCCTGTTTGTTTACATCCTTTTTATTTCTTAATTCTCACATATACATATACTCATCTGTGTTTAGTTAGAATGTGTATCACTTTCAGTATTTTTTTTATGACGATATGGGAACAAAGTAAGTCACTTGCGTAAACTATCCGTAACCTTTTAACTGCACCCATTGAACTGGCACTTTGGGAGATTAACAGCTGGTGCTCGGCGTTTCTGGCTGGGTGGAGGAGGAATTCATTTTGCTAAGCAATGAGGTCTTCAGTGAACCTCAACTATTTTGGTACCTGTCAAACAAATAGTCAAGTAGCCTGAACAAAGCATATTTAATTCTTAACTCTTCCTTAGAATAATTTTATCAAAACATTTTACATATCTTATGCTCTTGATTGTTACGTCTACTGTTTATTTATTTTTATGTACAGCAATTCTTTAAATGTTTAATTTGTATATTTTAGAGTACATGTTTGAATCTATTTGTGTGCATGGTCTTATAAGGGGTGTGTGTGTTGTTTTCTGCTCAAAGAAAGGCCTGTATTGAAGCTGAAACCTGTTTTTTTCATTGAGATGACCTGAGAAAGTACGGTTGACTCCAGGTATAGTGAACCTGTCATTAGTCTCATTTTACTTACATTACAAATAAGCATGATAAAAAACAGTTATAGTGAATTTGGAACCTTGGCTATAATAAACATAGGAAATACGTCCTGGAAATTAGAAAATATGTTGCCTCATTGCCACAAATTCCAACACTTAGGTGGCTGGGAAAAAATACCGACGACCAAAGGTCATAATTCAAATAGTCTCTCCTGAGGTAAACGTGGCAGACCCAGAATGTTTGAGTCGGCGATCAGTTTCGTTACCCACTTTCCTCGATCCTTAACAAAAGGATCTCAAAAGGCCTTTAGGTGTGGGACGTTGCAATGGTGCAAGGAACATTGAAGGGTGTAAAAACTGCATTACGATACTTAGAGAACATGAACTCTGAAGAAATTAGTAATGAAAAGTACAAAGCTTTTATATTACAATCGATTTTTTCCTTAGTGAACTTGAATTTAAAAAAAAAAAAATTATACAAATAATGCTTTTACAGTATAATGTTTTTAAAGAGTGAAATTGGGTACATGTGTAAAATTTCTACTGGTCAGATAAATAAAACTTTTCTTGTTTGTGTTCTAGTGTTAAAACTTTTGACCTTATTGTAGGTGACTGGCTTTCTATAAATGCCTTTGTGGAATTGGATGGAAATGTTCAAGATTTTGTTGGTGAAATTCTTGCTATATATGATGTTCAGCCTCTCAGATCTAGAATTGTGTCTGGGTTAGTTACTGCTTGGGATGAAAATAAAAAGGAAGGAATTATTGATGGAAGTATATGGTTCGCTCAGAGTGAATGTGAACCAGAATATGTACCAGCTGTGGAAGATTCGGTTGTTGTACAGGTAATTGTCATTTTTCCCCCACCCCCTTTTTTTTTGTTCTTTTTGCTAATGGTTGTATAGTTCATGAAAACATTGTAAAAGTACTTGAATTGTCTTTAGGCCATTGAATCTACCCATGGAACATGTACATGGAGAGGGCTGAGTATTGCATCTTTAGAAGAAAAAGAATCCAAAAATGGAGTAAATAAAACAACCAAAGATGTTCCTTCATGTATTAAGAATGGAATATCAGTTCCAAGGAGAATTGATGTTGGGTGTGTGAGTTATGGTCAGTCAAAAGAGTGCACAATAGAAATGTCTAATTTAGGAAAAGATCATCATTTATTATTACGTGGAAGATTTCATGGAAAGAGAAGTGAATCTCAAATTACGTTGTTGAGCAAAATTGATGATGGAACCATTATTGGGCCTGGACAAAATATTTCTTGTCGTTTTCGTGTAAATGGCAAATTTATTGGTCATTCTTGTGAGATATTTGTATTTACATTCAAAGGCTTTAAAATGACTTGCAATATAAATATTGAAGTACAAGATCTTAATTTGACTGATCTTATTGATCGCAAGCAAGTAGGTAGAAGAGGTTGGATGGATACTTATGCTAGAACTCGGAACGGTTTTAATTCAAGATCTGGTATTATAATGAAGGGTATTCAGCCAGTGAAACCTCCGGCCTTTGTGCCTGTAAGATTTGGTATATTTACAGTGCCTGAATATATGTGGAAAGCTGTACTTGCTGAAGATAACAAAGACTGCACAATTGCAAAGATTGTTTCTCGTCTCGGAGAAGTTGTGCCTTGTTTGAAAAGAGATTTATCTGCAAACAACTACAATTCTCGTCTTCATTCTCTCCTTTATTTGGAAGAAATTGAATTGAGTATTCGTTTGCATGAATATGATATGGAGAAAACAACATTGTCATTTGTTGGAGAATATCTTAGTTTGGAAGTTCCAGGCCTTGCAGAAAAACGACCTTCGGTATTAGTTGGAGACAAAGTGGATGTTGAAAGTTCCAATCAACAAGGTAATTATCATAATTAAATTGATAATGTTTGGGTAAAGGCAGTTAAGTCATAAACGTGAATTTTAAGAAAAGTGGTAATAATATTTCATGTGATCAATGTAATGCAGAGAATATATCAAATATATTAAATTCACAAGACATTACCTTCATTACACAAACACTGTCGAATTATGTCCCATCTACTGACTCCTACAAAATGTTTTTTCACATTTTCTCAATTTTTTGGTCCCTAATAGTAGAATTGAAATATGACTCCAAGGGCTGAACACATAGTCGTTTCTTATAATGAGTGTTAATTAAGAGAATTTTTTTAATGAGTAACTTCTTGTTCGTATAAGGAACATCACCTGTAGCCTCATTCGCCAGAGGGTTAACCTGCTTTGGTTAAGTGAAGTCTACAAACACATAAGGTTACACGATATGGGAATGACAATGATTTCTTAGAATGTTTTTAGTGTTACACTGAAAATATCGACTACATAATAAAGGAGTATTTCAGAGATGCTGATAATCCTTTGGAAATTACAACATATAGCAATTTAGAAGGTGGTTTCGTTTTCATAAAATCACTATTGTAAATAATATTGTTCCTCTCATTGATGAAAGAATAAATGTAATAAAGAGAGGCTTACCAATCCCTTTTATGAAGATGCCTATAATAGCATTAAGATTTTACACAACTTCATTCTTTCAGGTTCGTTTTATAAGATTGCACAAGATATGAAATATCTTATACAATCATATGAAAGAAATGAGTTCTTTTTGTAACTTCCTGGTAATTTTATTGTAGATATGATAAACGAAATAAATTAAATTACTTATTTTTTAGATGGTCTGTGCTGATCTCTACAAAGTTAGTCAAGCTACAGTGTGACGAATAATTTCTGAACATTCAGAAACATTGGAATGGAACATCAAGAATTTTTGTAGTTTCCATCAGATTGAAAGATTTCGCATTTTGAACTGATAAAAAGCAAAAATGCTCACCTATATAAGCTTGCCTATGTATAAAATTGCGTCTAATGTAAATTGTCAACAAAACACACAAATCGCAACAAAAACACATGGTTACCACTGTTAAATACAGGGTCCAAAATACGGAAATGTTTTGGGCTTTTGAAGAACTTCATGAGAAATCATTTGAAACGCTTGTAATCAAAATGCAGTGATGTATGAAACGGATATATTGTAAATAGTAACAATGTGAGATATGTATTAAAAAATTATATAGTTGTACAATTTTTGAAAAATCAAAATAATACATATAGGAAAATGGCATTTGTCTTGTTATTTAGTTTGTTTAATGGTATCTACACAAAAGAGTTAAAGGAAACTCATGGAGTCTTTTCCGGAACGTTTGAAATATTTCCCCCCATTTCACTCAAAATTATGGGTAAAATACTCAAATTTTTTAAAATATGTGACATTAATGAAGAAACCAACTGTGAGAAAAAATTTCATTTTAAGTCTTTATCTTCAATAAAGTTGTATGAAGGGATCCGAACAATTTCGAACTTTTGCAATCTCTGAAAATTGTGAGTTAACTGTGAAAATCGGACCTAAGCCATCTTCTCACAAGATCTTCTCTACTCTATTCTCACCAGAAATCTGAATGAAAATATTAGAGCTATTTATGAGAAAATTTAGAAACTTTCCTGGGATCTTCACATAAAGTACCCCTAAAATTCTAGAATTCTCGTACAATCTTCGTACAAAAGTTCTCGTGTTATATATCTTTGTAGAGTGTATATGTTGTGTATCCTTGACTACAGTATGAACAAATAGAAGATGAACAAATCCAAGTTTTAAGAAAAAGAAAAAAATAAATTTATAAAATTGATGAACCAATCAAGAATAAAATTGAGCATAAAATTTTAAGTTAGAAATTTCCTCAGAAATGATATAAAGAACATTTTGATTTCTGTTATCCTATTGATGTATGTATATATGATCAATAATCTTGAGGAGATCGTTCCCTTATGGGAACAAAAAGAAACTAAATTCATTTGTCCCCCCCCCCCCCAAAAAAAAAAGCAAACAGTATTTCATTTTCATGGGATTTCATGAGATCTCCTTATCAGTAAGAAGAATTTATTGCCGTTTAGTTTTTAAAAGAATTTATATTTATATTTTTCCTGGTGTAGTACCAATCCTTACTTTTCTTTTGTGGCTTATTCATTAATACATAATAATTATAAACTGTTAATTGTAAAATTTTTGTATTACATTTGTTTATTTTTTTTGCAGGTCATGTTTATGAAGGTTTCGTTCATAAAGTGTGTGCAAATGCTTTGTTGTTAAAATTTCACTCTCATTTTCATCAGACATATGAATCAGAAGAATGTAATGTCCGTTTTGTTTTGAACAGAGGGCCACTTCGAAAGTGTCATGTTGCTGTAGATTTGGCTCTAAAACATTTAGGAGAGTATGTATTATTTCCAAACTGCATAAAATTACGAGATCCGCAAATAAGTTTAGAAGAGAATGAAGAAGGGAGTGCAGATATTTTATATAATAACCATAACAGATACCGTGCTTCAAGGAAAATTCCTTTGATGATTGCAAAGCCTCCTGTGGAGGTATTTTCATATTTCATCTACGGTGTTTAAAATATTCAAATTTCTAATGCTAGTTGTTTGTATCTTAACATCTAAATCCTTTGTTACAGAACGGTGCTCCAGTTTATCAGGAAACGGGTAAGCAGTATTTAACGACTCTTCCTGCTCCAAGACTACCAAAGAAAGCTGTTAAATTGAGATGGTTCAATAGTAATTTAAATTATTGCCAAAAAGAAGCTGTTCGAAATGTTCTCAAGGGAGAAGCAAGGCCTCTTCCATATGTTATTTTTGGGCCACCAGGCACTGGTAAAACAATGACGCTTATTGAGACAATTCTTCAGATATACATCCTAATTCCAGATAGCAGGTAAAGTGTTCTTTGGGGAAGCAATAATAAAAAAATATGTATTAGGGAGGTCCTTCTTTTCAGCTTTCCGGGAGTTTAGTTTTCATTCTCCAAATTTGGTTCCATTCAAAAAGAAAATGATGATGGAAAATTGCAGATGAATTGGACATACATTTTCAATGTTGATTCTCTACATTCTGTTATGTATAATCGTATTATGAACATTATTGTTGTTGTTTTTATCATTATCATCATCATCATCATCATCGTCCTCCTCCTTTTTAAAGCTAGGTTTTATCTCTGAATCTGATAGTGCAGGGTTAACAGGTATGGCGTACTAAATCTGAAGACCCTATTTCATATTCAAGCATGGAAAAAACGTATTTGTTGGTTGGACATACTTAGCAGATTTAAGTAGTATTATGTGCAGTAAGCCATTACAAGAATGCGAAAAAGTGCATTCATTGCGGATAGCGTAGTATGAAAAAAGGGTGGGGCAGCCTGCTTCGCGGGTGTCACATTCAGGAGCAAAAAAATTTCACAATAATAATAATAATAATAATAAAAGTAATTGTAATAATAATAATATTATTTGTAATTGTAATAATAATAATAATAGTAATTGTAATAATATCGTGTAAAAATTTGAACCATTTCATTTTTTATTTTTTTTTTATTTTTTTTTTCTCCAACCTACGATTTGGACTGATTGATACAAGTATGGAATCTTTTATTACTTATTCTGTGACTTTAAATGAATGTACAATAATGACATCTTGCTCGTTATAGCGACTGGCACCACCGTGTGTTCTGACTTGTAGGGATCTCCCGAATTTAATTTTGTGCTGGGATGGTTTATGACTAATATTTAGCAAGGATGACTTTTATCATATAAATAATAATGTGTAATAACTGATCCTGTAAAATAACACCTGCAAATTAGATTGCAGTTTGGATAAGCCCCTTCATGGAAGTAGGTATTATTTTTGAAATTTACGAGTAATTATTTTGAAACTATCTATGATACTTTTGTTTACATATCCAACACTAATAAATGTGATTTTTGTTGTTGTTATTATAACACCTGTATGCATGATTTTTTTTACTAGTAACCTATACAATACCCAATATTGTTAATTGTTCTTGCAGAAAAGTTTTTTGGAATAACTGTTTATTTTAGTCTTTGAAATTAAAATATTTATAAAAGAGGTGACAAAATTTTCCTCCATACAAGGTATCCTGCCACCCATGCACTGGTACTGTTGTACCCCTTCTAGTTTCTCACATGGTTCCTTGCCCCCAGGATATAATCTTTTGATCCTGGACACACAAGAATCAAGAAATTGCCTTTTTCAAAACAAAATTCAATGAAGTTGTATGATTGGCAGGAAGAGAACTATAAAAACAAAGTACACTAACATTCTCAAAAACAACTTCGAGATGAAATGTTTAATTCTTGATGCAAATTAATTTCTTTCTTTGATGTGTGTGTAATGCGTACATAAAATAATTAATTAAAATGAAGTGACCTTAATAAAATGCAAACTATTTAAGAGATGGTATGTAATATCGTAATCATAGTTTTTGTCTTTGCCATCGTCATCTTCCATGGATCACTATGTATTTTTTTGTTCTTTTTGTTTTTCTTTTTTGGCTTGTACTTCCCCTTCCTAATATTCTTAAGGCTCCCCTGAACGTTTTCTGTGAATTTCTGTTCATCTTTCATCTCACCCTACCTTACAACATAATTCTGAATTCACGAGATTTTCTTCCTTTAAAGCTCTTGTTCATGGCCTCTAATTCTTTAACATATACTATAATATACACATACTAGAAATTCAAGTTGTTTAATGTGGTGGGGAGTGTGCTTTAGTGGTGTAGGGAGTTAAGTGGTGACAGATTAAATGTTCATGACGAACGGAGGAGTGGACTGATGAATTAATGCATAAAAATTGAGGAAACTTCATGAATATGTTGCAATGGCAGTGGATGAAATTTTGTGATGGTTCCCCAACTCTCCAGAACTCTCTTATATGAAACATTTGCAGAAAAGCTAGCACTCTGCACCAGGTGCATCCCAAAAAAGAGCAGTGCAGAAAAAGTAGGTCAGCTGACTCCATGAGTTTCTTTAGCGACTTGAATAGGAAGGTGTGAATTTTCTTAGCTCTCTTGTGTCGAGATAAAACATGGGAGTCTTAGTGCTTTACATACCCGAGACTGACAATTGTCACATCAATTCTCCAGCTGCAAAAATGTCAAAACCACAATTTCAGACAATCGTCCTCTGTTTTAGGACCAAAAAAGCATTATTTTGTTCCTGGGCAAGGCCATGAATGCATAACAATAGTGTGAGATTAAAAAAATTCAAAGGATGCATTTAAACAAAAGGAGGGAAATGCTGACAGTGGAGTGGAGTATGCTTGTTGCTTACAAAAGTATCAACAATATCCTCTAGCATTCAAATAAACTTTTTGTAAAAAATATAAATTGTTACACTTACTTTCTGAATATACCATGTACTGCCTCCAGTACAATTGGTTTATAAGTAATGTTATGTTAAGGGAAAAAAGAATCATTGCTACAAAAGTTTTAAAAAGTAATCTAGTTCTGGCAATAATATTATTAGTACTGTTGTTAATAACATGCTTTTACACAAATGCAAATATGGAGAAGTTTCTTGCTCTTAAATGCTAAGACGCCTAAAAATGTCTTATTTTGTAGATTAGGGAATAGAAAACAAAACCTGTGGACATGAATATCAGGTTTGAAGGCTCTCAAACACAGTATTTCAGACTGGTATCATTTACAAAGTAGTGTTGACGGTTGCATTTGCAAAATATATTTTATTTTATTCATTTGTAATACCTATTGTATGTAAATTTTAGCTTTGTGCGCTCCTTCTCCATACAATCTTTAACTATGCCAAATCTTACTCCTCCATTCATACAATATGCCGAAATAGGAGTCCAGAGTTTTCTTTTCATGCATAATGTGTGTGAATTTTGGATAGATTCCTATGTTGGTATGCTGAGGTTCAGTTGGCATTCAACATCCAAATATTTAATCTACGACTGCAGTGGAGTCTTCTGTGATGTACCTGCGATGATTGCTGGTAACGGACATCAGCCTTTGGATACTTCGCCCTAGACCCTGGTACTGAGGATGTCCACTGCAGTCTTGGAGGAAATGTGTGGCATTGAAATGCGAACTGGACCACAGCCTACCAGCCCAGAAATAACCATTAATATAAGTGTATTATGTATAAGGGTTGAAAAATCTTGGTGTAATGAATATAATGGTAAATCATTTTCAAAATTTTTGTAAGATCTTGTAGGATAATTGTTTTCTGTGATTTGGTTTCAGAATTCTTGTGGCAACACCATCCAATAGTTCTGCCAATTTAATTGCAGAACGCTTACTGATTTCTCAGTTGCTAAGTCCTGGAGACCTTGTGCGTTTGGTGGCTTATCATTGTTTAGAGGAAGGAACAGTGCCAGAAATATTACTTCCTTATTCAACAGCTTGTGATTTAAATAGTACTAAAGTTGGGGAGACTCATCCTGTTACATACAAGTTGAAGAAATCATCAAATGCATCTGTTCTGGGTCGGCACCGCATTACAGTTGGAACATGTATAGCTCTGGGGCAACTTTACTCGATGGGATTTCCGAGAGGTCACTTCACTCATGTGTGTGTAGATGAAGCAGGACAAGCCACTGAACCAGAAATACTTATTCCTTTGTGTGAGTAATATTTCTAAGTATATTCACTTTCCTTTTTTTTGTTTTTCTGGTATGCTTTTTAGTACTGTATTTTTGTCAGCCAAATATGTCATCAGTCCCTAAGTTTTGGTCACTGTAGTTGTTTGAGTTTTTGCAGGAATTTATTATTTTGTGAATTTAATAGCATATTTTGCTGTTCATTTTTATTATTATATATATGTGTGTGTGTGCGTGCGGGCGCATGCTTGCAAGTGTTTTTGCTCAGATCATTGAAATATTTTTTATTTATTTTTTTCTGAATGTCAAACATCAGTACGAAATGGTAAAGGATATTTGGGAGTGAGATAGTTAAACTTCCTGTTCTATTGTAAAGCAGGGAACAATCTTTGTATATGCTCAATGGGTCATGGGAATCTGAATAAAAAAGCCACATTGTGAGATTCTGTTTTAAGTAATTAGTTGAAATCATTATTAGAAATGGTTCGCATATAGAAATTCAACAAAAAATAAACATTTAGTTTCTTGTCAAGTCATGACTAAATAACTGAGTGCAAGAAAATTACATTATTAGAAGAAATATTTCATTGGTTTTTCACCAAAAGTTTGTTTTCTTTTATTCAGCATCTATACAGTACTAGCTGACCCGGCGAACTTTGTTCCGCCTTAATGGCAATAAATAAGCAATTTTTTTATTGGAAAAAATACATAGTTACAATTGCATAATAAATAGTTACAATACATAAATACAATTTTAGTACATAGGTTGCTCTTCATTTAAGTACCTTGTGATACACGACATTTTTTGTTTTATTATCAGGCGGCAAAAAACAAAACAACCAGAACCACTGGTCTTCCGACCGCCGTGAACATGCCAGCGTATAATTGCCATGGGAAAACATTAATGTTGCTAGATTTAAAACCACAAACTTTTAAGGATTAGCCTTGTGATTTGTTGATGGTCATGCAAAAATGCCAAGACGTATTCGGAAATTAAAGTCTTTTCTACATACCAAACGACCATATCTGTTTGGGATCATCGTGTGTCCTCGGAATGGCAGAACTTCCTCACCTTTGAATTTTCCTACATATCGTAGTGCGTAGAATTTACATTTGTTCATCAAATTTTCTAAACCACACAACGCGTACCAGTTGCACAGTTTTGGTGTGGTTTATGTTTCGAAGGCATTGATTACTAGGAGCCAAACCTTTAGGCGTTAATTGTGGCGGAGGTAAGCCAGGCACGTCCAAAGATTAAAAATTCAATTGGATAGTTGTCTTCAATCTTCATTTGTGAATGCAGCAATAGATTTGAATGAATGCCATTGTTCCAGATGATCTTATTTTGAATCATGTAGTTTAGGTCATCTACATTTTATTCTTAGCCGCTAAAATTGCTCGCGCTCACTCAACCATTCATTATTTTTGTAGTTAGAAAATTTCTGGAAATACATTGTTTGATTAAGTTACGTCTTTTGAGTGAGGGACCAAAATTACATGAAATTATTTGAAATGGATTAATCCGCTCATTCATCGACAGGGTACTGTCGAACCATTACCGATAAGTCGAGGCAATTGGCTCCGAGAAATCTTCAGCAGATGTATCATTTAACGGCAATGGAACTCTCATGTTTGTTTGTCAGTTGCAGTTTTCTTCACATAGTGCCGCCATAAGCATTTTGACGATTTGAGGCATAAGCGTTTATTTCGTCGGCAGCCGTAGATCTTGAATTACTGGCAGTATTGGCGAAATCGCCAGACAGTAAAATCATTGCTCCTCCCAAAACATCCGCTCTCGAGGTTCATTGCGTAAATCTTTTTAATGTTCGGTTAAGTTGCTTCTAATGCACGTTTATTAGGCGTTTTTGTATAATTTATTTATTTTTTTATATTTTTCACAAATATGCAAATTTGTCATCCATTAACGTCATTACATAGCTGGTCATTTGCCTTTTGTGTATTCCACAGTCTGATTCTTTTTTGTTATACCGCCGTTTTATAGTGATGAGCGTTCATGTCTAAGTCACACGGGACTGCTGTCGAACAGGGATAAAAAAGTATCCTATGTCGGCTTCCACTCCTGTCTAAAACTACCTCCTGCAATTTTCAGGCTAAAAATCGGTTCAGCCGTTCTTGAGTTATAAGTGGAGTAACTAACACGACTTTCTTTTATATGTATAGATTAATCACCCTCAATATGGTACCTGCGATGATTGTCACACACCCATGCTCAAGTGGGTGGGTCAAGGAAACATGTGTAATACTATATACTTTGGGCTAATGTACTTTGTGCATGACAGCTAGGCCTTGCCAAAGGCAGAATTTTCCATGCCTTACTGCTCCTATCAAGTGTGCTTTGAGTGAGCATTCACAATCTAAAATGAATACCTGGTACCAATCCTGTGTAGTTGATACTTTTCAGATCAGTCCTTGTTCTCTCTCTATATATTTTTAATGAGGAGGAATTTTGATTTAGAGTATCGTAGGCATGTGGCAGAAGTGCCCAACTGGTACACACACTCTTATCCTTATCATTTACTTATTCCGAGTTGACAGCAATGAGCTTAGATTATATTGCAGGTTAAGCAGCTGCTATTGTCAGTTGCTAGGAATCCACCATTGATGTCTTCATGTGAAAAATAGTTTATTTCAATAATTAATTTATTTATTTACACAACAGGCTTACTTGTTCAAATGAAATTACATGTATTAAACATAGTTGACGTACATACAGAAGTTTACATAGTAAGAAATATTAAAATTAATAACATTAACAAAATCAAAGTGCGGGTAATGAAGTTACAAATTAGTAATAAGTAATTCTACTTTCTAAAATCGAATATTCATTGCTTCAAACCTCTTACAAAACTTGCCGTACTCATACCTAATTGTTCTTTGCTAAAATATTCATTGTAATATATTGTTAAATAATGTATTGATTAACAATTTTGTGTGTTGCAAAAATTTCTTTAAATAAAACATTCCTTCTTGTATTACATGGATTATTGTAGTGTACAAATAAATTTCTTAATTCCGGGCAATCAATTTTGGTATTTAAAAGATTGTACATAAATTTATTGTTCTGTAATACTTGTGAGGACTGTAAAGACGGTAATTTAGTTTTGGAGGAAATGTTAGAATAATCATGGGAATAAATTGACTTAAAATTTTTAATCCTGAATGATGCATATCTGAAAAATCTATGCTGTACACTCTTTAATTTTTTTATTGCAAAATTCGCACTTAGGGATCATACTAGTGAGCTTAGATTTGACTAATGCATTATGCAAATTCAATATTGTATCAAGTTGTTTAAAACCTGATGATTGTCTTTTTTTTAAACAAAAGTCTCCTAAGTCCTAAGAGTCTTTTCCATCTCTTTGTAGACCATCTTTTCCATGTGTCCCTTTGGTCTTTCTGCAAGTCGTTGCCCTTACGGGTTCCATGCTAAAGCTTGCGTTTCTTTATTACGCTCCTGTAAGTTTTCTCAGCGTGCTCTCCATCACCATTTCCTCTTTGTTGTTAGTCAGGTGGCAATATATATTGTATAATAATTTTTTTGATACAATAATTAAGTACAATTGATTTTATGTTGAACCACTTACAGAATTCCCGGGGATTTGGAGAGTCACTCTTAAGAACGTTGGGTATAAATTCCCGAATTCTCCGTTTTAAGAAAAGGAAAATCAAGAAGCGATCGTGTTTACTGAAGTCAATTCTTTCTTTACGTAAGGACTTTGGGATGACTTTCGAAATTTTCATGGGGGCCACGGCCTACCATCAGTTGTTGTGAAAGTTACTAGTTGTGAAAATCCTACGACTGGTATCAGGGACTTCGCTATCAGGAGTCGTCGGGCCAGTCCTGTGCATCTCTTGGTCATGGTGACTGGAAACGTCGGCGTTAAAAACTACGTGCTTATCACCTTCAATAGTTCAGGAGAGAACGGATCTTCCTCCAGTGTGAACCTATAGAAATATGCTCTGAAGCACCCATTGCTGAGGCCTCCGAAATATTGCTTAGATGAATTGGGAGAGCGTTAGGAGAAACTGCAATCAGAAGTTTTGTGCATCGCCTTCTGTGTTCTCATTAGATAAGAGTTCTGGAAAAAGGCGACCAATAATTGACAAAGATTACTTTCCCGAAAGAATAAAGATAATTGACGAAATTGTCATGGTTACCTGCCTGGACGAAAATAAACGTTCTGCTTACAAATTTCACGTCATTCATGCCTTCTGATTTCTTCGCTCCGCATCTCAGAGCGCTAATTTAAGGAAACTACACGATAATTGCTTGCTGGCAACGTACCACAAACTTTCAATGCGCCCCATCTGCGTATTGCTTAGATCCTCAGCACGATCGCTACAAAAATTATCGCGGTTCCTTTGAATTTCAAATACTGTGAGCCCGTCTTGTCTGACATGGAAAAAAATTGGATTCCAGGAAATCTGACAATTAGCAGTTCTTTTTCGCGGCCGCCCAGACGTTCGTGCAACCTATTAGTGATTTTTCGGAAGCAGTTGAAAATCGATTTCAAAGAGCTTTGTACAAAAATTAGTATTTGTTCAATTGGGAATTAATCTCCGCGGCGGGAAGTTTGAAATGTATGATCTTTCCCTCTAAAATATCTTTCAAAGAGCAGCGAGACTGAGCTGTTCGAAGCGTGGCGCCAAATTTGAAATAATTTATCTTGGAGAACATACTCTCATCCCTTCACTGAAATATGCCATCACTTATGGTATTGAGGAAGGTACGACAAATCAAAGGATATTCCTTCTCACATTCAGTTCTAGGTCCTAAGAAAGGTGAGGTAATTCCGTCTCGAGACGCAATTGTAGAGTAACTTGCTTCATACTTGTATGTTGAGTTTATCAAACTATGATCCAAACTTCCTTTTGCTCGAAGAAAATGGAAAACAGCTCTCGATTTTTCGCGCGGTACACATGAGGATTGTAATGCCCCATTTTCCATGTGCGACATGCGCTCTGCAGTGACACTTGCGAAAAGAACTGCCTCAGATTATGATGACATCTTCCTGAAACTACTATGCAATTTCTCCTCCGACTCTACAACCGTATAGGGGAAGAGCACACCATCCCTGTTATATGGCGAGAAGCCATCATTATCCCAGTTCCCAAGGAAGGAGATCGATCATTGCCACGAAGCTATCAAGCCATTTCTCTTACAAACTGTGTTTGTAAAGTGCCGGAACGCATGGTGAATCAGCGTTTGGTCTGGGCCCTAGAATGTAAAAGTCAGTTGACGCCAATTCAAAGTGGGCTTAGAAGAACTTGGATCACCACGTTGCATTGACAGCAGTATCTACATCGTTCGTATGATGGTAACATCTTGTAATCTTATTTGACATAGAAAAGACCTACAACTCTTGGAGGTACGGCATTCTGTGAACCTTTTAGGGGGAAGTTCCTTCTATTCCTCAAGAACTTCCTTTCGTGTTCGCGTTAGTGACAGACTTTCTAGCAGTCACCCTCTAGGAAATGGTATTCCTCAAGGATCGATTCTGCCAATTGTTTCCCATCGTCATATATGGTATAGCGTCGACTGTGCGAGAACCTGTAAAGGCGTCGTTTGTGGATTTTTGCCATCTTTTGTTCGTCCACCTGCATCCGTGTGATCCAGTGGCAACAGATTCCTGGGACTCACGATCGACAAGTCCCTCACATGGCGTGCACATATCCGTAGACTACAAACCAGATGTCTTCCCCCTTAATCTTCTTAGTATACTGAGTAATACATCATGATGAGCCGACAGCATTAGCCTATTGCGGTTTTATAGAGCACGCATGCGCTCAGTTTTGGTGGAGTGTAGTGTACGGGTCTGCAGTTCCCTTTACTCTCCGACCCATCAACGGCATACATCATGCTAGTGAACCTTTTTCAATAGGTGGTTATCGCACCCACCGAATAGTCCCTTTTAGCTGAGGCTGGGGAGCTATGCTTAAAAATAAGATTGGATATTCTATTGGCGTCTAATGATGCTAAAGTGTCATGACTCTAACCATCCTTGTCGCTGAATAATTATCGATCCTGAATATGAGACTTCGTATGTATTTTTCGAACATCGCTACCTTAGCTCCCAGGTATTCGATTGCGAAATCTTTTGCTGAACCTGAATGTCGGTCTTCCTACTCCGGCGAAACCCCCAAGAGACCTCATGCTCCCTTGGAAACTTCTCCGCCCCAGTATTGACCTCAGACTCACCAATCTTCCCAAACAAAATACTAGTCCTCTTGGTTACCAGATAGTTTCAGAAAATGAGAGAAGCCTATCCGGATAATATATTTCTTGTACACAGATGCTATATTGTACAATGTCGTAGTGGCATGTAGTTTTTATTGTACCAGATCACTAAATCAAATCTGCTTCATTCCAAGTTCAGTGTATTTACTGCGGAAATTGTGCAATTCTCGCAGCCCTAAAGTACAAGGAATGAACGACATTGCGGAGAGTGGTGCTCTGCTCCAATTCTCAGCTCTCTTTAAACTTTCTACCGTTCTTCCTCAGATTACCTGACGTAATCAGTTCAAAATCTAATACGTCTTCTGTCTTGCCACTATGATCTGGCACTCGGTAGGATCCCACGTCATAGTTCGCCCACAGCCATAAATACGTCTTCGTGCCAAGCATTTCCTCGAATAAGTCTCAGGACATCGTTCGAACTCAGATCATTGTTGCCCCATCCTCCGGATATCCGTCTCTTCACGCTCTTCCAGAAACTCGATATAAAACTCCCTATCCCTGTAAAACCCCCGAAATCTTGTTCCCCGTTGGAAGCTTCTCCGGCCTAAAATAGACCTGAGATTATCACATTTCCCCTAATCCTGAACTCCCCCAGTACATTTGTGGCGGAAACCTAAGAGACGAAATCCATGTATCCCGGCTATACCTTCATGTACACTGATGGTTCCTCCCAGAATGGTAATGTAAGGTGTGCATTCTACTGCCACTGTGCAATACGAACCTTTCGTCTAGACTCTTCGAGCAGCGCGTATACTGCAGAAAAATATGTGCTCTGGGAGGAACTTAAGTTCGCTGAATCGATGACATTAAAAGAAGCTGTGATCTGCAGTGACTCAAAAAGCTCGCTCGAATCTATCTCCTGCTTCTCTTCTTGTGACCCTCTGACAATAATCATCCAACACCAAACCCGTACTTTACTGGTTAGTCGTCTTTTTCTTTTTTATCCCAGGTCACTTTGTGATAATAGTGAACGAAATTGCTCACCAGGCAGCGTAAGCTCGCCACAAAGAAAAAAGAAGGTAAGACAACCTCACAGTCCCAACAAACGATACGAATCGTACCAAGTTGTTTGTCAAACGTTGTATTTTCAACGCATGGCAGACTAGCAGAACTCAGACTTTAAACTCACGAGCATCAACGATTCCGTAAAGCCTTGTTCCTCTTTATCTCGTGGGCAAAATGCGAGGAGATAATTCTAATACGCCTTCGAATTGGCCGCTGTCATTTCTCCCACGGACATCTCGGTGATCCTCTTCCTACTTGCGAAAGTTGCGATACGGTTCTTACCGTGGAGCATGTTCTGCACTGTTCTAAGGTAAGATTTAGCCCGCGAAGGCTTTACCTTGCTAGCTCTCTTGCAGAGGTACTTGGAAATGAATCTTCTCTTTGCAAGCTTTTTAGCCTCTTATGAGAGTCTGACATTTACAGCATTATCTGAGAGAAGAGGATTATGCCAATTATTTGGTTTATAATTGGAGATTTAGTATGTTTATCTGTTTTCAGCCAACCCTTTTAAGTAATTGAACATGTTTAAGTTCAGTTTTACTTACATTTTACCTTACTTACATTTTACAATTAAACATATTGATTAATGTTAAGATACAACTTGAATCTTAATTTCTGTTAGGGAAATATTTATGTTTAATTACCTCTTGAGAGTGGCATATTTAATAGATTTTTTTCAGAATCTTCTAGCCTTATATTTCGCTTTCTTCTTTTGAGGAAATTGGTATTTTCCTATTTCGCAAAGATTCTCAATAGGGTTTAGATCAGGGGATTGTTGGAGTGTGGCAAAAACGTTTGGACAGTGTGGTTTAGTGAAATTGGAAAGTGTTTTATTCTTATGTTTAAGCACTTATAAAAATTGTTGTATTGTTAAGTAGTTTTCCTTCTTTATAGTATCTTCAATATATGTCATTTAACCTACACCAGGTTCTGACATTCACCCCAATTCAATGATGTTGCCTCCATATGATTCTCCGACATCCTGCCCATTTTATGACATCCTTCGAGTCCTGAATTAACTTTACGCCCTTACAGAACCTTTGCATTAGACTTATATATTTCCTTAATTGTAAAAAGTTTTCCTTTTTGTGTACTACAATAATTTTCTCCTATTTTCTTTGCTTGACCCACAAATAATAAAAATGGGGAATTTCTAAATAAAGGATGTCATGAATAAGAACATAAAATAAAATCTGGTCAAAATGAGACTTTTGTAGATACACCTCAAGTAGGCTATATACATCTGGATTTAAATGGCCTGAATTGGGCTTTTTTTCTCTAGTAAATATCAAACAATCGAACTTGTTTTATACCTCTGCCTAATTTGATTTATTATATTTGTTGGTAGATTCTTATTAATTCTTTTTATTAAATCTTTAGGAAACTGATAAAATGCTAGCGGTTTAACATTGTCTAAAGCTTGTATGACCAGAGCGTAGGCTTCCGCGGCCTGAGTCAATATTTACTAGGCAGTCCTGGTGACGCCGCGTCCATTGCGAAGGTGCCGACGTTTTGGTCGCCATTCTGCGACCTTCCTGCATTACGCATTACGCCCTGAGGAAGGTCGCAGAATGGCTTGTATACCTTGAATAACTTTCGTTGGATAATACAGTTCTGGAACAACCTTTGCAAAGTATGTATTTTTTTAATTCATAATAATACCCTCTAATTGATCTCTCATGAAATCTAGTAATATCCTTGTAAACATTGTAAACTCATAGATATCTTGGCATTCTGTGTGGTTAAAACTTTTAAGTGTAGTTTCAGTAACAGTGATTTAATTCGTGAACATGTCCCTCATGAAACGTACATGGTACAATGTTGAATATACAGTGTAAATCAAATATTTCAGTTCTTTATAATTCTCACTTATTTCCTCAATTTTTTGTAGGTTTCCTTCATAAAGATTGGGGTCAAGCAATATTGGCTGGAGATCCTCTTCAACTGGGTCCTGTAGTGAATTCCAGAGTATGTTCTGAGTTTGGTCTTGGCTACTCGTATCTTGCCAGAATTCTCAACTCTCATCCTTATCAAAGGGATACTAGTGCCTTTTCTCAGTTTTATGGTTATAATCCCAAGCTTGTTACAAAACTTGTAATGAACTACAGATCTCTGCCTGAGATATTAAATCTTCCGAGTACTCTGTTTTATGATTCTCAGTTAATACCACAGGTAAGAAATTAATATATTTGTATGTAGAAATGCAGGATCTTTAGATTCACATAAGTTATGAAGTATGTGGTGTGTGCGTGTGTGTGTGTTGCGTGGCGTGCGCGCGTGTGTGTGTGTGCGTGTGTGTGTGGGTGCGGTGTGTGTGGTGTGCGCGGCGCGTGTGTGTGTGTGCGCGCTGTGTGTGTGTGCGCGCGTGTGTGTGTGTGCGCGCGTGTGGTGTGTGCGCGCGCGTGGTGTGTTGCGCGCGTGTGTGTCGTTGTGTGCGCGCGTGTGTGTGTGGCGCGCTGTGTGTGTGTTCGCGGTGTGTGTGTGTGTTGGCGCGTGTGTGTTGTGTGTGCGCGCGGCGCGTGTGTGTGTGTTTGCGGCGCGTGTGTGTGTGTGTGCGCGTGTGTGTGGTGTGGTGCGCGCGCGGGGTGTGCGTCTGCCGCGCGCGTGTGTGTGCGCGTGTGTTGCGTTTGGTGTGTGGTGGGCGGTGTGTGTGGCGGCGGCGCGCGTGTGTGGTTGCGCGTGTTGGTGTGCGCGCGTGTGGTTGTGTTGTGCGGCCGCGCGTGTGGTGTGCGCCGCCGCGTGTGTGTTGTGTCCGCGCGTCGTGTTGTGTGTTGGGCGCGGTTGTTGTGTGCGCGCGCCGTGTGCGTGCGCAGCGCGCGTGTTGTGCGCGTGTGTGTGTGCGTGTGTGGTGTGCGCGTGTGTGTGGGTGCGCGCGCGTGTGTTGCGCTGTCGTGTGTGTGTGTGTGTGCGCGTGTTGTGTGCGTGCGCTGTGTGGTGTGTGGCGCGCCGCGCGTCGCGTGTGGTGCGCGCTTGTGGCGTCGCGTGTGGTGCGTGCGTGTGTGTGTGGCGCGCCGCGTGTGTGGCGTTGTTGTTGTGCGGTGTGTGCTGTGGGCGCGGGGCGCGTGTGTGTTGCGCGTTTGTGCGTGGTGCGCGCGTGTGTGTTGGCGCGCGCGCCGGTGGTGCGCGCGTGTGTGCCGTGCGCGGTGTGTGCGTGCGCGCGCGCGGGTGTGCGTTGCGCGGCGGCGCGGCGTGTGTGGCGCGTGTTGTGCGCGCGTGTGTGTGCCGCGCGCGGTGTGCGCGCGCTGTGTGTGCGGCGCGCGTGTGTGCGCGCGGCCGTGTGTGCGCGCGCGTGGTGTGCGCGCGTGTGTGTGCGCGCGTGTGTGTGTGCGCGTGTGTGTGCGCGCGGTGTGCGCGTGCGTGTGCGTTGCGTGGGTGGTGCAGTTGCGCGCGCGCGATATAGGCTAAAATATTATTTAATTGCATTTGATTTTGACAAATTTCCTTTTTGAATGCTTTACAAACTCTTATTTAATGCTTCAAACAAATTAACGTTTTGCATATTTGGCACAAATATTTTTTGATGCATGGTAATGTATTGATCGAATATTGTTTGTACGAGTGCACGCAGGTTGTCTCTTGAGGCTTTTGTAACTTTTGGATTACTTGCCGCCAAAAATGAAAAAAAATATTCACTTTCTTTGAGGAGATGTGACATATCTGTTGGTGGAAAAGGTACCTGGAGGCAGTGGTCAGGGGCAGCGAAACTACTATCACAATATTAAAGTAAAATCTTCCAGGGTTTCTCAGACCACCTGCATGCACTGCCGGGTTAAGTGATTGTATGAAATTTTTAAAATATAAATTATTCCAAATTGGAAATAAATAAATATTGAACATGACGTTTGGGAAAAGAGATATAATTGCACTTGTAAGTAAGAAAACACTCTCATCAAGACTGCCATCGCTCATTTTCTTGAACATACCACTCTGCAGTTATACACTTCTTTATTCACTAACTTCGTTAATTCCTATGAAGAATTATGTTACTATAATATAAATGCACAATTTTACCGCTCATTGCAGGTGCTAGAAACAGGGCAAGAAGGAGCAATTTTGAGGAAGCTTGCAAAATGTCTACCCAAGCGAGACTCAGCATTGCCCCCAAGTGTTATATTCCATGGAGTGCGTGGTGTAAATTTTCAGGATTCAGATTGTCCATCTTGGTTTAATCCTCAAGAATTAGTGCAGATAATATATTATTTAAAAGATTTCTTAGATGCTGGACTCACACCTGATGATATTGGAGTGATAACACCATATCAAAAGCAGGTATATATTAATATAATATAGCACTTAAATTGCATTGAAATTCTTGAAAATAATAATTAAACTTTGGTTTTACAGGTGCAGAAACTGCGGTCTCTTTTAAATCAGTTGGAGCTGCCATCTCCGAAAGTTGGATCAGTGGAAGAATTTCAAGGTCAAGAGCGTCTAGTGATTCTTCTGTCAACTGTCCGAAGTTCTACCAAACATGTTGATTCAGATATTCGGCATTCACTAGGATTTGTGGCTTCTCCCCAGAGACTTAATGTGGCTTTGACAAGAGCAAGAGCTTTACTTATAATCATTGGCAATCCCCATCTACTTTCACGTGATGCATACTGGAAGAAGACATTGGCGTATTGCATTGACCAGAAAGCTTATGTTGGATGTGATGTACCAAAAGAGTTTATGGATTTTTCTTGTGTTTCCAAATGATATGCGTGGATGAATTCTTTGACATTCACTGAAACATTTTGTGATTTCTTCTGTGAGATATTTTATTTGATTTATTTGTAATTAAAATTACTTATACCAATGACTCCTTAAATGTTTTACCCAAGAACCTTTTTTAGTGTTATTTTTTTTATATGTGTAACCTGTGTCATGTTCTAATTAAAGTTAGTGTAATAACCTGGAGTGGTGGAACGAAAGGGTACACAAGTTTTCATAGCTTAATTCGTCCTACGCTTTTCTTCAGATTGTATGTTTTTTTAAATAAACTATTGGGGAATAGAAAGAATAACATTGCATTTATTAGTGTTAATGGAAATTAGTACAAATGGAAATGAAGATTTATATAGCAGCTCAGCGTTTTTATAGACGAGGTAAACAATCATTATGAAGTTAATGATATTATTAATAATAGAGATAACCAGTTTGGATATCTTTAGTAAAGTTCAAATTTTAGAATTAATTTGTGTAAATTATTGACAAAATAGTTGCCATGAGGTTGGATTTTGAATTTAAAATTCTGGTAAAACTTGTCTGAAACCCTTTCCTGGAAGTTTTGCAGGTGATGTGTGATTTGCGGGCATTAAAATTTTAAATTATTTTCAGGATTATTAAAAATAGTCCAATGCACCAATTTGGTAATCTTGGATTTCTGTAATTTTGTTATGTTAATGTTTCAAATGCAATCAATTGATGTGTTTTACATTAATGAAAGAATAAAATGGAACAAATTTGTTCACTTTTGTCAAAATGAATCATTGAAACGTTAACGCATTATTTGGTTTTAAACGTATTTAACTATAATACTATAAATTAATTACCAGAATTTTAAATTAATATATACTAATTGGAAACAAAGGTTGTGGAACTTGAACATATGGAAGGTATGTAGTGCAATTTACCCCCCCCCCCAATTTCTATTGTCATTAACCGTGCGCGAGAGGAAATGTTTGAAGCAAACTTCTATAACAATTAGCCGAGAAATCGAAGTGTTGAATTGAGTTATAAAAATTTAAGTAGTTCTTTTGTAAAATGAGATCCACAATATGCGATAGACGAACGTAGTTTTGTTCCTTAGTGTTTAAAAATAATTTAATCGTGAAAATTTGCTGATAGGGGTGGGTGATTTCTCGGATCCCTTGTAGATTAAAATTCCCGTTGCTTTTGAAAATTCGTTGGCACGTTTGTCGTTTAAATTTTCTACCACGTGAGAGCGCTGATTGCGACATCGCGCTGCACTGCCATCTACGTTATTTTAAAGATGGTGGCTAGTCGTTATGAGTTATAGTAATTTTACTAAATGTACGGCTACGTATGTATATAATTTAATATATATTATTGCTGAAGAGTATTGAATTTGTAGGTAACTTTGTGTAAGGAGATGATAATCCAGGAGCCAGTGCAGGTAAAACCTGGGAGTCATTATCCCAAATGCCCCTTTTTGTCACAATATTTACTTGTTCTCAATATTGTTTACATAAAAATTGAGTGATAGAGTGGTACAGTCTACTTTCATGACTTTCAGCCTAGTAACTTCGTTTTTATACTGTTGAATAATAGGCATGATCTGCAAAATTGTTGGTGTTTCTTTACAGGCTGCTATATGGCATTGCTTGAATCATTATGACTTCTCTGATGCCATTTTTCTGGCGGAAAGGTTATGTGCCGAAGGTATGTTTTAAGTCCGAATGTGTGCTTTTTTGTGTTTGTGTCCTGTCACATGCGTAAAGATTTGAAGTTTGGGGTACAGTTAGCAATTAGTCTCGATTATATATTATTGAGAATCGTGTAAATTACTTGATCAGAGATTTTAGAATGTTACTCCTAATTTCATGAATTGTTCTTAGTAATGGGAATGTATTTAAACCTTTAGTAGCCTGAGATGGGAAAAGTGATTGAATGGAACACCTATTATTATTAAAAACTTTCTGTAACAATGAATGTGTAAAGTTGGATTTTGTGTTTATTTTTAATATTTTCATATTGTGATTAATAAATGAGCATTAACCCAAAATTTCAGAAATAGAAAGTGAGTTGTGAACAAGAAAATTATGCTGAGGCATTACTGGATTTTGTGAGTTTATTGAACTGTTTGTTAGTTCTAGTCACTTCATGAAATCAATTCACATTGGTAGGATTGTGTAACGTAGAACACAGAGGTACGGTTTTTTTGTAAGGAAAAGGAGTTTGAAGCTTGGGGAATATTGAACTTTTTTTACTCTGTAATTGTGTTTATTATTTTAAAATTCAGTATTTAAATTATTAGTTATTTTGAAAGTAGTTCATTTTATTAGTAGCTATTAAATGAAAATGACATTATCATAAAAAAAGAGAGATTCTGGATATTAAAGATAACATTTTTTTCAGTGGAGTCTGATGAAACATTGTTCCTGTTAGCAACATGCTATTACCGGTCTGGGAAGACCTGGCAAGCTTATTGTGTTCTGCGAAAAAAGGGTTCCAACTCACCTCAGTGCCGTTATCTTATGGCAAAATGTTGTCTAGAATTACAAAGGTGAATGTCAATTTCTGTTTTAGGTAAATTCTAAATTATAATGTTTGGGAATCTTTTGTATTGATTTGGTTATTTCCTTGGTTTCAGGTTAGCAGAAGCAGAAAATGTACTTTTGGGAGCAGATCCAGTTAAATCTAGAGGTTTAGATGACCTAGTATCAGAGTTCGGTGATCAGGCATGTTTTGCACTTCAGATTCTAGCTCGCATTTGTATGCAAACAGAGCGAGGTCCAAAGGCGTCAGAAGCCCTTCGCAGAGCTCTGAAACTTAATCCTTTTTTGTGGCATGCTTTCGAGGATTTGTGTAATCGTGGCGAGAAGCCAGATCCTCTACGGACGTTCCAAGTGTCAAATCTTGAAAATTTCTCTAATTGTCATGGCAGTAATCCCGTAGTGAATTTTATTAATAGTTGTGATCAACCTAGTTCATGTACAACTTCTACAACTACATCTCTTAGTGAGCCTGCATTTACCATTAGCAGGTAACTGCTTTTGTTTCATTATGTATAAAGAGTATTTCTTAATATTTTTTGTCCTTTTGTTTGGTTTCTTTTTTAAAACCTTAATGGAGGATATTACTTGTTTGTGCAGTACACCTATACAGACTGTGGGTTGTGTAAGTGCAGCAATTCCCAATGCTCCAAATATGAAATTCTTCACACCTGATGAGAGTCCTTTGGCAAGGCCATTGTGTGGAGCTGGTCTTTCGGGTATTTCCGTTCTTGCTCCTACAAGAATCAAGCCTCGTTTTCGAAATATGTTTGGTGGAGGTGGTTGTATTACTCCAATTAATCCAAGGTACATTGTTTTTAATTAATTTATTTGATAGTTCTGCACTTTAAGGCTCTTATGAAAGTAATTGACAAATTCATATCACTGGAAGGAAGAAAGTACATTTTGAACATGGGTCAAATGTCAATTTCCACATAGTGGCTTGTGTGGAGGTTATTAAGCATATGCCACACTATTTTCCCTCTTTTTTTAATTATATCCACAAATGTCCCTAGGATTTTGGAAATGTAGGAAGTTCTTACTGTGAAAGATTTTCTTATGGGAGTTCAGCAGATCTTGCATGTCTAGGAATATTCATTGTATTTAGTGATTAATTGTCTACTTTTGAACTCTTGCCCTCTTATACATTATGTCCTGGAGCTTGACAGTTGGGCCTCAGCAAAGGCAGTGTTGTTGCGCTTTATTTACCTTGGTACACTGCATTAATATTTTGCAGGTGATTTAAAGCAAATACTTTTAATGATATATTTTTGATATTTTACAGTTCAACAGTTTACAATTCATACTGTTGGGATAGTTGAAATTTTTATGTTAGGTGATATAAATGTATATCATAAGCGCTCAGTGGATAAATCGCTCTACTCAGTGTATTTTTTTCTAAGTTGGTAGTATCAAGCAAAGCTTTCATCTCAAGAAAAGCTGCTACTACAGTATGTCTCTGGGGAACAACTGTCGGCACCAACATATGTCTCTGAAATGTCTAATTCGAAGTTTGAGTGTATAATGAATAGTGTTTTATAGTGTATAATGAAAGTGAAATTCAGATTGCCCAACTTGTCAGTTAACACTTGATGGGAATGGTATATCTGAATGAGAAGATTAGTTCTAAACAAGAAGTTAGCAATTATCATGATATTTATTTATTATTTTGAATAATGCCCAAATTTGTAAAAGATTATTAAAAATATTTATTACAGTACTAACATTTTACCATAGAAAAATAGGATGTGAACAGTTTTAAAGACAAAAGACATATCTCCCTTTCTATTAACAGCACATTTTGTTTTTTATTACGAGCAGTGTGGCACAAGAATTTTATTCATTTTCTTAAGGGAGTGCCTTTAACAGTAATACTTTGTTTTGAAAACAACCTTGCTTTATCACAGGAGGTAATATATTTGTGCATCTGACATTCTATGAAAGTACACCCTTCCCTCGTAAGAGCTTTTTAATTTTGGGTAAGCAAACCAGTTCCCAAAATTTGTGGGACATCATATATTTGTTTAATTTTCTTTGCTTTGGTGAATGTTGTGGAAAAAATTGTGATAGGAAGTTCTATAATTTTTGTATCTGAATATTCCTCTGGTTTCTTGTACTTTATAATGGGGTAATCCTGTTCAAACTCTACTGATTTTTTTTGGTGTGAAACATATTAAGGAGTTGATCTTCCTTGTTAGTACAGAAAATTCATAAATATGAGAAGTCTTGTCAAAATAATAATTATGAATGTGCATATTTGAAGGGTTGTATGAAACTATATGCTTTCAAAATTGCTGAATATTTTGGGAGTGTGTGGAGGAAGATATACAATTTTGCTAATGAACATAATTCTTAAAGAAGTCTATATCAACGTGGCTAGAGTTATATTGAGTGAACTTGTGATTTTGTCTTTCATGCAGTAATGTTGTTTTCTAGCTGTATAATAAACTTATGTTAAATTTTTATAATGATTTCTCATTGTTTTGAACAGTTTTGGTTTTCTACCGATGGACACCCCAAATTCAGGAGATCCAACGCCAGTAGCTTTTTTGTCACCTACTCTCACTGAATCCAATGATCAGCAGAAGAGCCTGGCTAAGAGGGTGAGCAACCTTCGTGCACAAGTGGGGGTATGTGTGCTCCCAGATACTTTTCATGTAGTTTAATTTGCTAGAGTTCTCAAATTAGTATTGAATTTGCATGTGAATTTACTCAAGAAGCAGAGAAACTAAGGGTTTCTCTTGACTTCAGTTATGGTAGTTCTGTCAAAAATTTTAAAATGGAACCAAGGATTGTGTGGTTAAATTGATGTGTGGCCTATACTTTGATTTGAAGTTTTCTGAAAAGCTGCTTCTCAGCTTTTAAAACAGAGGGTAACAATACTTACATTTGAATTGTGGGTTTGCATGTGGGAGCTGAATGCATTTTTATGCCAAAACCCTTGCACAGATTTGTTGTAACCCTCTCCACCTTTCCCACAAGAGACATAAAAATGCATGTGAAAGTTTGCGATGGTCCAACTCTAGGTGGATTTATGTCAATCATTGCAGTCAGGAGTCTCACCAATCATTTGCATGAGCAAAAAGAATGAAATCTTTAAAGTACTTTGTCCCAGAAGTGCATGGTAAAGGGAGTAGGGACCTTTGGTAAGGGGGAAAGGACCTTTGGCACCTTTTTGACACAATGATTGTTATTTGACGTTGATTAAAAGTACTGGAGATTGGAAGTTAGCAGGCATCAGATGGGTGCTGGCATGTATTAAATGTCAGCAAGCTTGTGTTATGTTTGGGATTGAGTTTTGAAAGTTGGTTGCTTTAATTGGCAATTCCTGTGGTTGCCCTGATCACTTGTAGGGTAATGGTGGAGCAGCACCCTATATAATGGGCCGAGGACTGCACATGATCCTTCCCCACCCTCGCTTCCTTAGGGCAGTGTAATGAGCGTATTCCTTTCCTCATATGTTGATCCCACATTGATCTAGGAAAATCTCTGACAAATATTGATATTTCGGGATGTAGGTACAACTTGCTGAAGGAGACTTGAGATAGTCTCCAGAGTCAGTCGACAATGTAACTCAATTTAAAAAAGTGAGTAAATATTTATTGGTAGTTTGTTATTTTTAAGGTTATGTTTGGGACTTCCAAATTTTTTATTTTGTGGGTTGAAAGCTTTTCTCTAATTTTCAGTCAATTCAAAGCATAGGCTGCACATCAATAACTGCATGCTCATAATTATTCTTTTTTAGAGAAAAGTATGCATAAATAGCAAATGATGTTGAATCTTCGATTTTATAAGCCTTACTTTTGTGAATTTTCAATCTTGTTTAATTGTTTGCACTCTGCCTCAGTATCAGGCTGGGTAAGCATTTAGGGCTCTCATTTGTTCACAAGTTCTCAAGGCTCAGCAGTCAATTCTCTGTATGATGCTGTGATGATTGGGAAACTTGAATTACAGCATGTTCCATTTTCAATTACATTTTTTGGGAAGCATTCATGGATGGATGGTGGGTGACCTATGAATCACCCTATTGATATAGGTGAAGACATCGTAATATCAAAGGACTTCACGAATTTTACTGGTCACTCACTGATATATTGTAAAACAATATATTTACAATATTGTTTTGTTACTACATTAGAAATACAGAAATACGTATATTAAATCCCCCCCCCGTGCCGCCATTCTAGATAGCATTGTGCCTTGGAAACTGGATAAATGCTGTAGGTTTACTAGTAGACTGAATGCCATGTTGTTAGCTTGTGGCTGGAAAGGGTTAAACCACATTATGGGTGTTCCTTTGTCGTTACTTGGGGGTACAGATTTATGCAAATTGATAATTTCACTTAAATGTTACAGAACATACTGCTAACAGTTCATGTCTCATTATGTACACTTGTGCATTTATCTATGACTTTCCCATGTGACCAATTGATATACTTAAAATGTAAAATTGCAAGTTTTTTCTTATTGTAAGCATTTTCAAACTTGCAAGGGAAGAAAAAAAGCTGTGTGCATAATCATAGCTAATGTTTATTATTACATTACATTGCTTCATTTTTTTTTTTATGAACAATGACATCAAAAGATGGAGTTTTCAACTTTCATAAATATTTCTATTTTATAAGAGCAAAGATGTTGTACATGTCATTTGTGTCTAAGCAGCACTTAAAGGTATTATCTCAAAATCTGTTTTCTGTTTAGAGGGAAAGTAATTTGTTAATAGCGGTTTCCCTCACCTTGGAGCCATTTCAGTTTTCTTTCATTTTTACTTTCTTGCTACCACTATTGTAGTAGAGAGAAAGTTTTGTAATGCTGCACAAACAAACAGCGAATTTTCGGCAGAAAAAAATTATTACAAGTCCCTGGCAACGAAAAAGTAGATAAATCTAGATGCTAAATGTAGAAAAAATCTTCTAACATGTGGTGTAGCAGGAATCCATTTTTTGTTGGTCTTGGGTACTGAAAAATCAATTGATGAAAAATATGTTGTCTTTCCGTGAACAATGCAAGCAGCTAAAACATTCAGCCGATTTTGATTGATATTCCTTGACCCGACGTTTAAGAGTATGTTGCAGGTCTAATGTTCTTTGAAAACGCTTTATTGTCAAAAAGTGCAACAATTCAATTTTTTTTTCAATGTGTTCCTATAGCTAAAATATTAAAGATTGAGATTTTCTCCTTCTGTTCCTTAAATATTTTGAAATAAGACTACAATTTTTCGTAAATTTGGCAATTTTTAATTTTGTTTAAAAATTTTCTTCTCGAGAACAGCCTCTTCCTTATTGATAAAATTTTGTTGCTGGATACTCTGAAGGACGTTTAAGAAAATGATGCAGGTCTCAAGTTGGTTGCAAACCATGATTTTTCAAAAATTGAAAAAAGTAAAAATTTGTTCAGTATCTTCCTGCAATTACAATTATGAAGATACCATTTTTTTCTTAATGAAATGTATTCCTCAAAAATAGATCTTCAAATAAGGTTCTGTTCAATTTTTTAAAAAGTATTTTTTGCGAACTTTTGTGTCACACTGGTAATTTGTGTTTCTTTAAATCATTTTTTCATACAAACCGCACAACATTTTTTTTATTAAATTGGGACCTTTGATACCAAAAGGGATGCTTAAGACAATGGCGCTATTCTAAGTAATTCTGAGTATTTTTTGTGTAATTTCGTGTATATTATTTCATATTTCTTTGTTTTTTACAGTCAAGCTTTTGTTATACATTTACAAATTCATCTTTTATGATTTATTTAAAACCTATTTTAAATTGCAGTCTTCAATCAAGTTAAATTGTAAAACAAATTGTTGATTTCGTTTTGAATAATAAATCATGGAAATGAAGAGTAATGGGTAGCGAAATTGAGTAGTTTTGATGAATATTACAATATTGTATTTAATTATTATATTTTTGAAATTATTTTCATTTTTCCGCCTGAAGTATAATCAGTGATAATTTGCCGAATGTATCCCATAAACATTAGTGGTCATTGTTGCATGTTGCAATCCGTTGTAATGCCTCACCAATAACAGGTGAAAATGAAGCCCACAGTTCATTTGCGTTAATATAAACTAATAATTTTAAGTACTGCTAAAATATGCATTGTGCATTGTTGGTACATTTATGTAGAACATGGATACACTGAATTCAATTGCAACAAGCTGTTTTCTTTTAAATGTTTGAATTAAAATATGTATTTATTTTTTATTGTTATTATTTGGGTATTAGTAATATGAAAAAGTATGAGCTGTTGTAGCGCCACAAGTTTTTAATGTGTTTTGGTTCTGATTTTAGCAATTTATGAGCCGGAAAGAGACTCCTCTTCAACAAAGTAAACCAGTGTTTAGTCAGTCAAGTAACACTAGTAATACATCAAATATAGTACCTTCTCAGAGCCCTACTACGCCTGCAGCTCCTTTGCAGCCAGGTCAGAACGTAAGACGAAGTTCACGTCTGTTCAGTAATAGTTATAATGTAAAGGTATGTGCTTTATTCTCTAGTTCTTGCATTTTGATTGTGTTCTAGTTACTGATTTGATGACTTAAATTGTTCTAGGAAAATAATAAAAGTCCAAATCGTAGTAAATTTGCAACTCCTAAGTCTCCATCTCGAAAAACAAAATCACGAATTGCAAAAACAAATCTCAACAAAGCCAGTTTTACAGATTTAAATGAAAGAAATCGAAACGAAAAGGAGAAATCTGAAACAATAACTTCTGCAGATAGTAAGATTATAGGCAGTGGCATGGTTAGTGTAAATGGGGGTACTGCGTCTCAAAATACTGTAGTGCAGGTTCTGCAACTGCAAAAGCAATCTGCTGAAGGATTGATGTCATTATTGAGAGATCTTGGAACTGCATACCTCCATTTAGCTCAATTCAACTGTCGAAAAGCAGTTGAATGTTTTAATAACTTGCCACTACAACATTATAATACTGGATGGGTGCTGGCATTAATGGGCAGAGCACATTATGAGCTTAATGAGTATCAGCTAGCTGTAAAGTGAGTACTTCTTCAGTTGTTAGTCTGTTGGAATTCTGTAGTGAAAATAGAGAAACCTTAGGGTTGTTGAATGATTTTGTAAAATAGTGTGATTTATTGAACATTTAAAGGGAAAGTTGCTGTAACAGAAATCTTTTATCTGAGATTCATACTTTCAGATACTTTAATGAAGTTAGAGAAAGAGAACCTCATCGTATGCAGTTAATGGAACTTTACAGTACTTCATTGTGGCATCTGCAACGGGAAGTGGCACTATCAGCATTGGCTCAGGACCTTGTCTCACAAGATCGAAATTCTCCTGCAGCTTGGTGTGCAACAGGCAATTGTTTTAGTCTTCAGAAAGAGCACGATAGTGCTATAAAGTTCTTCCAACGAGCTGTTCAGGTACTTAACTGGATTAATTTTTTTCACTTTGTGCACCTTAATGGCTTTATAATGAAGTATTTTATTGTTTTCTATAATTGTCCAGTTATATGGTAGAAAATAAAGGAAAGTTCTGGTGTAGTTTTGAAATTTGGTTTCTATATGTTTGTTGCATCACTGGACACAAATATCAGTTTTGCCAACAAGAATTTTGCTCAGGAATTTTTTGTTAGTGCACACACACACAATTATAAAAATCAGACCCTTTTCAAAATCACCCAAAAGCTGTCCATTTTTTGTAAATAATGGTCCTTTATGAAATCAACAAAGATAAAATTACTTTCATGTAATGTTACTAAGTTTTTTCTTCAATTAATGAGAGCGCCACAATATTTGGTGTTATAAGCAAAAAACATTCCAAAAAATGGGAATTATCCCATTTTATCTTAATATAACTTGGACTATTCTTTTTGTAAATATTGACCTCATACCAAATTGAAGGGATATGTGCATTGTGCATTCAAGATTTTCTTCTAGGATCAATGGCTTCGCTGTTAGTATGCAAAATATGTCTAGATGTTACTGTAAAAATGGCACTCCACTTAACCTCCATCACTTTCTAATTCATGCTATGGAATTTATATCCAATAAATGTATGTACAAATAAAAATGTCATGTTTCTGAGCACAATTCTTTTTGGCAAATATGAATTTCATGCTCAGTGACACAAAAAAACATAACCAAATATTAAAACTTCGTCAAACTTTCTGCTATTTGCTATTTTTTACCACCATTTGACTGGACTCTTAAACCTTGTTGTAGAGTTCAGTTTCTAATTGAGTATGAAACTATCAAATATGACTTTTTACAATTAGTATATATTTCTTGTGGGACTAAAATTATGACAATGAGTTATGAGTGTCTTGAGACCTGATTTACATGCTTCCTTTTATAAAAGATTACAGAGTTTCAGCAAACATGCTTATGCCCATTGTAGCTTCTGCAACCGCAGAGGTCATACTGTTCATGCTTACCCTCAGTAAATCTCCAATTTCATTCTGTGAAAGGAAGCATGAAAATTAGATCTAGATGTAGCACTGTAAATAGTTATTATAACAAAACAATCCTACCACTTCTGTTCAATGTTTTTTATTTAATAATGTGACTTCAGGAATTTTTTGATTGATTACAATTTAATATAATTAATCAGCTTTTCTTCCAAGTTTTTCCAGTTAAATTAATGACTTTTGCATAATGAGCTCTATTTATATTAGAATATTACTCCTGATCATAGTCTTTCTTTGTACAAATCATTTGAAATGTTTCCTTGCTTTGAATGTTCATGTGCATTCAGGACCTTCTCAGATGAATTCAAGATAAAAAAATGTTCTGTGTTCCACATCTTCTCTCTTCAGTCACCACAGTGATATTCCCTGTTTCACCTTGTTTGAACGTGCTAGCATATGGTGTCTGTTGTTAAAGAAATGTCAAATTGTTTGCTGGTTCATCAGATAATTGTCAATTAATTTATCCGCATATGCAGTACTTACTATCTTACAGCTCTGGCAGGTGCCTCACAGAGATACTTTATAATGTTCATAAATAAAACATGCTAGGGATGAAATGGCTACGATCTATTCCCTAATGTAAATTACCTTTACATACCCATATTCATTTTCTATTCAATCCACAAAACTGCTACACATTAACATTATTTAAATTATTGTTTAATTATTCCAATAATAATAATAATGATTTATTTATTTTATTTATTTTCAATAAATGGGATGAACCCGTTAGAAAAAGAAAAATTGAAAATATGACAGAAACGGAGTAATATTTAAAAGCAATTCTATTCCCCTCCTACATTCAACATTATATCCTTGCAAATTTACTATGACACCTTTCACCATGCGTTTCCATCTAATACCGATCTGCAAAGTACCAGAGAAGAAGTATTCAGCTTGGCTGCCAGCGATTGAAATGGGTGAATCTTTTTCATCTGGCTATAAAAATGCCTCCTATACACACCATTTGTTTTTTTCACAAATAACTTTGATTCCCACTCCCTGATTTAAACTATGCTATTGCATTGTGAGCTTTCTTTCTTCTGAAGCTTTGTTTGTTTACACTCGCCACTATACCAACCTATCTGTACATTATCTCTTTATGCCTAAATAAAGCATAATCTAGTATTTTAATGTTTATTGTAATGCAGGAGGATTTTAGGGCTTATTACAGTAAGGAAAACATAATATTTCTGAATCTAAGTATTGGATAACTAACGCACCCCCCACCCACTAAAAACCCTTCCTGCAGAACCGCCGTCAGGTATTGCATCACGGGAAGGCAGATAGGCTTATTGCTCTATGCCAAGTGAAGTCATGGGATACTCTTTCGCAGTCATTCTTCTACTCGAAGCTGCTTTAAAACTATTAGGGCATAGGTGGCTACCGTACTCCAATTATTTTGTGACACCAGATCCTAGTAACGAGAGTTTCAGGAGTCACCTCCTGCATGAGCAGTCGATGGAGTTCTTCCCTCTCCTCAATGAGGCGAGAAATAATACGCGCTCCACATCTTCAACCAATGGGTCTTAGATTGGGCATGAGGGGTCATCGTCCAACCGGAAACGGAGTTGGTATACACGGTAGCACCCATGCGCCATTAACAACTGGGTCAAATAATGATCCACGTCTTCGTGTTTCCTTTGAGTCCACATCGTTACGTCTGGAATGAGACGAAATATCTACCAGTGCATCGCCGTTGCCACTAGTCATTATCACGTCTCTACCTTCATGATGGCGCTCCTAATTGTAGCTCTCTCTCGCTTACACCTGTAGAGCCTGGCCCTTTCTTGTGCCATGAGGTCTGTAGGGGGCATGTCAGCTATCATACACTGTGTCATATTATACCATGCGGAATGCCGGGGCACCTTCAAGGCGGACTTGACTTCGCACCGCGGGGCGTACGACCGGATCCCAAAGGCATTAGCCCAAATGAGGGATGCGTAGAGTAGAATAGAGTTCACCGCGCTAGACAGTAGCTTCCGGCTACTTTGCCTGGGACCTCCAATGTTAGATATAATTCGTGCTAAGGCGGAGGCCTTGCGGGACATTTTCGTGTAGACTATACACGTAAGTGCTCGTCGAAGTACAGCCTGCATGCGTCAATCTGAACTCCTAAGTATCTTAGTGACTGCTGGAAGACTGCTTTACTGCCCCCTAGATTTGAGAGTTATACCCTCCTTCAGTTTCCTGCTTGTCACCAAGATAGCCTCTTTTTAATGCTTGGGCCATCTGGAGCCCCACCTACGTTGGCTTTCGCCGGATCGCAGCCACAGCCTCATTTGCAACGTGCGTGACCTCTTCAGTGTATTTGCCGACCACTACCACTGCAACATCGTCACCAAATCCAATAGCCCTTGCGCCTTCCTGAAGCTGGAACTTCAAAACGGAGTCATATATATTCCACAACAGCGGGCCAAGTACCGAGCGTTGCGGAACACCACACGAGATGCCATAGGTCTTTATTCCAGTCTCCGTTTCGTACAGTAAGGTCCTTTCCTCAAAGTACACTATTTTATAATGTAATACGGAACTCACAGGCATTTTAACGCAGCAAGTGTGGAACTCCACATGCGTTCCTGACGTCGAGGGTAACAATAACGCCAAACGTCTTTGTGCCTGTTCTCTGTAGTTTGCCTTCAGTAGCATTGCGTACGATGTCGACGACTGTAATTGCGTCTGTGGATCTCGCAGTCCTGAAGCCAAATTTATTATCTGACAGTCCCTGGGGTTCCTCCGTGTCGGCTTCAATCCGTTGGCAGATGACCCGCTCCGACACCTTGCCTGCAGAATCCAGTAAACATACAGGCCGATATGCTGACGGGTCGCTAGGAGGCTTTTCGCCTATCGGAAGGAGGACCAGCCGTTGTTGCATCCAACGACAGAGGCCTCGTTCGCACGCTCGCATCGTATTTCGCAACTATCTTTGAGAAGACAGGGCAAGTCGAAGGAGCCTTGAGCCTGACCGTTACCACCTTATATGGACGACCGCAGGGTCCAGCATCCACCTTGTTGCTTAGCTCTCTCCAGCAGCGATTCTTGCTGATCTTAATGGCTTTTGAGGAACCTCTTCAGGCGCCCATGTGTCTCCTTCAGTGTCATAATTTGGGCGACCCATCTGCGTTGCGCCAAACTACGAGTGCGGTAGCACTCTGCAAAGTTCCGCAATCTCCAATAGTCGTGGTAAATGTCGCTATTAAGACCGCTCGACCGGATCACTCCGCAACACGCCGGAGGTCGGCCTTTCCTGAGGCTTTACGCGATTGACTTGACGTAGATTTATATGCATGTAAAAGATCCTCAAGCCTAAATGAAGCCTCAGAGTTAAATTCAAAGCGCATGTTTCGCCGCCCAAGAAATACCTCCTTTCACCGCTAGTTGGTGAAAGGAGCGTAGCGAAATTTCTCTGTCAGATGGAAGAGCGCGCCTAATGGCCCGAGTCTTGCCACGTAAAATAAGTCATCAATCCAATTGATGCATCACAAGCTTCAAAGACCCTGCTCGTTACAGTTCCCGCCATATCCTCCGAGTTTCCGACCAGCATAACGTTGCCTCGTCATTATGAGAGCGAAAGAATCGTGATCGAATGACCTGTGGTTCCAAGTTGCTCTTCTATTCTTTGCAAAACATTTATCACTGACATGTACAATAGCCTGGTGGTCGCTATGTGTAGAATGATCGCTAACCTCGTGCGCCGTAATCGGCCTAGAAGGCTATCACACGCGTATGTCAAGTTGATGATGGAGCTGCGACCATTCTTGGCTCGGGCTAATACCTGTGTTGCAGAGGTAGACGTGTAACAGGACTAGGCTATACAGGTTGGTTTGTTACCCTACTGCCCCACTCAGAGACCCATGCATTAAAATCCCCAGCAACAATAAGAGGTCTTCGTTCTCTTGCATCATCCAATCTATCGAGTAATACTCAAACTATGCACTAGGTGCAGCATAAACG